ACCCTACTCCTTGTCACGTACAACCGGGGATTCGAAACCACACCAGTCGACTCAATGACAGACTTTATGATACAGCGCGCGCACGCTAACCATTCAGCCATCCAACCCCCCTATAGTCGTTCGAATGTTAAGAAAAGTTTGACGTGCACGTAAAAGGGTAAGCCGTAGCGCCGCTGTTCGAGGAAATTTCCTTCTTAGCACACCGTATGGCGCATGCCCGTCTTCATCAGCCAGGTCGGGGCAGAATCGTAGGACGTTATGTAACACTATTATAGTGATAACAGAGATCAGTTTAGTAAATATATTTTAATATAAAGCAGCTACATAAATTAAACAAGACCTACAAAAAACGGGAACTAAATTACAAGAACATCAACACAGTAGATGAATAGTTTAAAATAACCATTCCGCCCCTATGCCGTTATAGCGGGTGAACGCGGATGAGTCCTCCCTAACTGTCAGCAAACTATATACCTTTGCACTGGGCCTACACACACGAGATCATTACTATATATGGAGTTTACAAGTTATGGTATAATGTATATGGGTCATATCTCCATTGTCCATACATGTGGAAATTGATAGTCTTTAATTAGTGTGTACGTGTTTAGAACAAAGTGTATAGTTGAAAACCAAATTCATTTATTATCAAAACCAGCTGGAGTCAATAAGTTCACTGCATCTAAATAATAGTTTCATAAAATAGAAAATTGAGCACTTTGTCACTATTAAATCCCATTTCATTTCAAAGATTTAAGGAACAAATTACAGTAGATGAATAGAAGAAGACGCCTTATGTGTTGATTTTTCGTAGATTGATTATTCTATCGCTGAAGGGAGAAATTGTTTTTAGTATTTTTGAAGTTTCCTGTTGTGAGTTGTTTAGATTTTAGTTCATCCAAACTAAATTATGTCAACCTTCACATGATTTGATGGTGATTTGTTATTTATTACTTACAATGTCCGTGTGTGATGTGTTTTGTACACGGAGTTGTTTTCTGTGTTTCTATTTGGTTGTTATGTGTGGCGTTGTTTTCCTTTACGTTATCAAAAGCAACTTGATATTGTTGAACACCTCATCTTGTAAAATCCATTATTCCAGTGTCTTTCAAACTTATTATTTAAAAATAAAATCATTAAAGAGGTACTCTAATTGTTATGTGTAGTGTGGTTCTCCTGTACGCTGTCAAGTGCACATAGTTACCAGTTGATGCATGTTTCATTTCCTGTATATCTCTTTGTCTGGATTTTTTTTTAAAACACCCGACAACTTATGCTGTAAAACCCATTTGGTTGTTTAAATCATTAAAGGGGTACTCTAACCGTTTCCTTTTTTTTCTTTTTTTTCTAAAGAATGATATATTTGATCCAATATTTAGGAGCAATACAAAAGTATAATATAAATGTATTATTGGGTAGATGAAATAATACAGCAGTGCAGTAGTTGACTTTACAAAATGCAAGAGTAACTTTTAACATCATGTTCTGCTGGTTTGTTTCTTTACGCTTTCTTGACAAATCCTCACATAACGTCATCCGTGTTGGACCACGCCTTGTGCAAAGGTCAAACTATTTTAATTCTGCTCTGATTTTCTCCTTTAAGGTAATCGTTTTTCATAATTCTTCCTAATTAAATAAATTCGACCAAAACGTTACGATGTAACGTATGTTGTTTCTTTATCGCTTCCATCGATTTTCGATTAAAAAAAATAGAAATAACAAATTGATCCGGAAAACATGCTTTACTGATCAAGAACATAATCCAGCTGGCCTTCTATTATGTTCTATAATTCACAACGATAAGGCCACGCTAATTTAAATTTGTGTTCTTTCAAAACACATTTTAAAGGTCATTCATATTTCTTGGGGAAACAAAACTAATTTTAAAACAAATAGTATTTGGTTGCTCTCCTCCAAAGCTTTGGATTCCAAAAAAATCAGTTTTGAAATTTTGAATATAACATAGTTCACAAAGCTCCAAAATCGGCTCCCAGGGAGAAGTTGCCGTTCGTTTCTCTCATGGAAATCGCGTCCGTTGGCTATTTTGATGTATCCTTCCCCCCGTAGCTTCACAAAGCCCGGAGCCACGGGTGGTTAAGACGATGGCTCCCTAGCCTGGAGGTCGGGTGTTCGATCCCTGCATTGGTCGAGAAAGTTCATCTGGATTTTCCGACGTGGTATCCCTTTGTCAATTGTGGAGAAGGGAGAGCCTGACAAGGACAGCTATCTAGTCATTCGGATGAGACGAAAAACCGAGGCCCCGTGTATAGATTGGAATGCACGTAAAAGATCCCTTGGCAATTGGAATTCGATAGCACACTGTATGGCGTATGCTCGTCTTCATTAGCCCTGCAGTATAGGATTAGAACAGTGGGACGTTAAACCCCATTTCATTTCATTTCACAAAGCCCAAACTCGTGTTTCTTCACAAATTTCGCGTATTTTACGCTCATTTTGCACGCTAAAAATACTGTAGTTCATAAAATCGATGCCTAATTGTTGAGAAATCGGCAGCATTTCATTCAAACAAATTCACCCAATCAAGAGCATAGGAGATACCGAGATTAACAAAATCAAGTAGCTTAGCTCTTTTTTGTTATGTTGGTTTGGCCTAAGTAATCTGTCAGTGGCATTTAAAAGAATGCCATTTAGTATAGTAACCATTGGGCTAAACGTAGATTTGCATATTGCTTAAATAAATCCTATGATCTGGACAAATCGTTGGCTTTTCTCCCACAGCCAGACAGCCAGGCCTGATTTTTCTTTTATTTATTTACATAAGATTTCTTCGTTAGTTAATTACGTAGCGCACCTTTTATGAATTAATGATAAAACAGGTCGGATCGATTGTGTTCAGATGGAATTCTTATGTTTTATAATATTTATTCACCGTTATTTTAATATTATGTTTTCTTTAATTGTATTATATTGCTCGGGTTGTCTTGTACATACCTGTATAGAAACGGGTTTAAAGATGCCTTACCGTGTGCGTGTGTGTGTGTGTGGGGGGGGGGGCGAATGGTTAGCACGTGCGCACTGTATGATAAGGCCTCAATTGGCGTGGTTTCGGATCCCCGGTTGTACGTGACAAGGAGTAAGGTCGTCTGTCCAACCCCGTGGGTTTTCTCCGGGTCCTCTGGTTTCTTCCCACTGCTAAAGAACCCTACGCGCAAGCGAATTATTGAAATAAAATTTTAAAAAACATATGTTAGTCCCGAAATTACCTAGTTTGTGGCGAGTGGGCGTTAAACCCCATCTCTCTCAATAATCTCAATAAAACCGTCATAAGCTGTAAAACTCTATAACAGTCTTGTTTGTCACTTGATCTGGTCGCGGTAGAATCCCTTTATAGCTTGTATTTATTGTTACTTACTGCCCATTTAGCCAAAATATCTAAGCCTAAGTAAATTCGCCGATTATCCTCTTTTCCCGCCTTTAAACGCTGAATCTACTAAACGTTTTAGTCCTCTCAATGTTCTCATGCCCGCTAGCCATTCAGACGGGCATACAGCATACAGTGTGCTATGAACAGTGGCAATTTCTGTTCTGTTCCGACTGGGATAATGAAGACGGGTATACAGCATACAGTGTGCTATGAACAGCGGCTATTTCTTCCGATTGGGCTAATGAAAACGGGCATATGTCATGCAGTGTGCCCGGGTGCAAGTATAGACTGGACCTCGATTGTTTGTCCCATCCGAACGAATATACGTTGTCCCTCCGCTCTACAACACTGACAACGGGAAACCACACCGGAAAATCCAACCAACACCAGGAACGAGTCAACGTCTTGCTCACTGAGCCACCACAACCCCCTCAGTAATATGAGACAGGAAGACATTTTAAATGTTCAGCGAAGTTAATAGCGATAATATTAAATTTCAAAACACATAATTTAAAGTTTTTGATTGGATGCCCCCATCCCCCTTTATCTCTCTTGCGTAACTGTTGGTTGGTACTAATACCAAGAGCCTTGATAATTTAAGAAGTTATTAAGTCATGATATGTTGTGAATAAGATGTGTGGGTGGTATTTTGACTTCTTTTTTTTATAGTTTTACACTTTCGCTAACCATTAACGTTACCCTTATATCAAGTATTGTAGAAATTCTATTAGCGTACGCATATGCGAAATTGTTAATTAAAAATGTATTTCAATTTCATAGTTCCCATTTAAACGATAAAATATACACTTAAACATTCCGTTGTATACTTATCCTTGCAGCACATTTCGGGGTCAGTAAGGTTAGATTAATATACCTATATATTTGTAACCAACTTCCGACCGATTAAACTAGGGGTTGACACGTATTCTGGATGTACATCTTGGTATGTAAGACAGTGGGTGGGTCCAATCACTGTGGCGTTCACTTAAAGCCGCATATTGCTTGACATACGAGGAACAAATGCAGGGCTTGATTGGTTGGAAATATTGGATTTTTATCTAGCGAGAGATATAGGTGACTATCTGTTGTGGCGATCCCTTGCTTACCATTACCACACACACGGACAACTAACACAGAAGCGATCGAAACAAGCAGGTGGGGATTCATTCATGACCATAACTTAGGTAATTCATTGAGAAGCAGACAACTTTGGAATTTTTTCATCATTTACAGAAATTTGTGAGAAATCAAAGTGTTACTTTGAGACTTCTTTTTTGAAGTTTATAAAGTTTCGTATAATAATGTGCTGATTTTTTTGTATGTGTAGCCGTAGTTTCGTATAAAGGCCAGTAAATACAATTTCCACTCAAAACACTTAACGAGATCTAATACGATTTGGATTGTTATATATATATCTATACAATATATATAACACCCGTGGGAAAAATTAAACAGTCTGTTCGGTTTGTTTCTTAATGTTGTTGTAAAATGAAATCGTCTATAAAATACCACAAAGAATATTAAAACCATTGTAATCCGTGGTAATGTGCAAATAACGTTACTGACAATCGATGTTCTATATTCCAAGTGAGTGTTGAAATACGATACCTGTATTATGGCCGAAATCTCCATATTTGATCTGACCAACAATGCTTCTGTATATCATTCTAAAGATGACGACGACCTCTACTGGGAGTACTATGGAGGTAACGGGACGGAAAGCCATTCCCCATCCAGCTGTGGGGATTTGTCCGATCGTCACCGCGACTACACCCAAATTCCCGCCGTAAGCATGGCTATAGCCGTTCTGTATAGTCTTGTCATATTTTTGGCTGTTACCGGAAATAGCTTGGTTATTTGGACAGTTTGGAGAAATACCCATATGCATACAGTAACTAACTACTATATTGTTAACTTAGCTATCTCAGATCTCTTGGTTTCTGCGATTGTCATGCCCTTAAAACTTTTGGAATATACAGCACCGTGTGAATGGCACGTATTTGGCAGTGATGCTCTGTGTTCTGTACTCAATTACTTGTTGCCTATATTTGTTTTTGCTAGTGTTCTCACCCTTGTCGCTATTTCCCTAGAGAGGTAAGTCGATTGATTTTATTGGAAGTTTAATTACTCTATAACAGTATTTCAATGTTTTTGATTCTTTCCAAATCCCCCTGATAATTATACAACATTTCTTTGTATCTAGATATGATTGGCTTGGTTAGGTCAATTGTTTTCAGATGTGGCATTGTGATTTTTAAAAGGGAATACCAATTAGAAAAACAGGAATTCATGTTTTATTCATCAGTAATCAAAGCACACTTCTTTCGACAGTGCACCCCTGATCCTTAGGAATTTCAGACGGGGGTCGTTAATTCCATTGAAACCGGCTAAAAACTTACTACTACCCGTAAAGTGTTATATTTTAGCTAGCGATCAATGGAATGCCATAGTCCAGGATTCAATTTTGTTATATAATTTTATAAAACTCAATTTGTTTTCATATCAAGAGAAATGGGTTTAACGTCCACTCGACACATAATAAGTCATTTCGGGACTAACATATGGTTCAATTCTATTTCCATAATTCGCTTGCGCGTAGGGGTCTTCAACGGTGGGACGAAACCGGAGGACCCGGAGTAAACCCACGAGGTTGGACAGGCGACCCTACTCCTTGTCACGTTCAACCGGGATATCGAAACCACGCTAGTCGACTCAATGACAGACTTTATGATACAGCGCGCACGTGCTAACCATTCCGCCATCCAACCCCCCTTAATCTTAAGACTTGACAGCAGATGTTTTAAATTCTTAACTACCTTGCATATTATTTAAGCCTATCGGTTTTTTAGTTTTACAATTGTATCTTAAATTGGGCGAACTCCTTCTGCATTTAAAGGTATTTATGATATCTTAGATTGATCTGTTCTTTCAAATCGAGTCTGCGTAGGTAAAAAGTGTCATTTGATATATTAGCGATATTTGTGGAATTATTCGTCTACGCTCACCTTTCCACACATGACGCATTCACAAAAATCCGACTTGTAAACATGTTGATGTATTATTTATTAGAAAGTCACCCACGTTAATACGGAGAAATTCGTTTTAAAGTTGCCTATTATAGAACAATAGACAAAATACTGCAACAATTCAGTCACTTTAGGCAATAAGTACCGGTCAATTTACAAAAGTTATCATAAAAGGCGTTTGGCAATACCCACTAAAAAAGTTCAATGACGTACACGCAGATAGCAATTTAGATTTTTGATCTTACGTGGTCTTTAATGTTCGTAGACTACTCTGCCTCGCGATAGTCAAAATAGTGTACCACGGCTTAGCCTAATTGCACATCACCATAGATTATGCAAAATTGACAATGACATGATCGTGTAATCTACCTTTACCCCCTTTCTATCCTAGTTAATCTTATTTCTATTAACGAATTATGGAACTGCACAACGGCGGTTATTTTTCTTAACGGTATGGACCGAATGGTTGCTTGAGAATAAATTCGTTACGAAATATGAAAGAAGAGCGAACTTGTTTTTGGAGAATAGTAAAAAAAGGGGCATTTAATGGATAACGTGCGTGTCATTAATGGCCCTGTGTTTTATATATTCACACCATAGTCACAGAAACATGCTGTGTTCTGATTATTTCTGATTTCTTAGTTATAGAATATTTGATTAATCAAAGTACAGAACAATGGAGACCCGTTATAGTACCTAAGGCGAAACCTTTAAAACGTTAATCGAACACGACACCGGGTTATCAGCGAATGTATGTTCAATCTAGGAAAAAAAAGGACAGAATTCTCAGTAGAATAAAGGAGAACCCTAATGAATTCTTCTGATCAGGGCAAAGGACTTTTTCTCGGGCACATGATGGGACAAGTCAAAGGAAGAAATCGATAAAGAACAAAGTTGTCTGTGGAATTAAATAAAACCTCTTCGGAATTACTGTTGAGACAAGAGGAAGAACCCTATTGGAATTCATCACTCGCAAATCGTGGAGTAATGTCTCTCCGTTTACGTAGAACCCAATCAATGTACGACAGGTATAATAGATTAAATTGGTTTCTTTCGATTTTATTTGTCGTGCGACTTTGCTATTGGCTAGTAGGGAATGTGGAACACAAAATCAGTTATTCGGGCGTTAATTAATTTAGACTTTTTATCATCGTTGGGAGCTGGGGGCTCAGTGAGTAAGGCACATGCTCACTACCGTCTTAGGAGTAAGCGCAATATTTCGTTCAAAGCACACTGCATGACGTATACCCGTCTTAATTGGTCCGGTTGGTGCAGAAAAACAGATCGTTGAACCGCATTTCATTTTATTTTATGATCATCTGATGCGGTATCAGTAGGATGAAATGTTTGGAAAATCGTGGTATCAATGGTGAATTTTGGGAGTGGGGGGGGGGGGCACACTTCTTTGTAAGGGCACCATATTTCAAAGTGGTGGGTGAGGGCTACCATAACACGCACACCCTCCTACCCACACCCAACGGGCCTGATACTGATTATAATCAGATTTCACCGGACCGTAATCCTATGAGATAATTAAAGGGACAAGAATAAACAGCTATAGGGATAAACGACATAATTATTTCCAAAGACTAGTTGATTTGATTACAATAATCGATGTAATATCATAATCATCAAATATACTTCATTAAGAAAATGTTCCTAGTCTCTATGATGTTATTATTGGCGTCTGTATATCTTTTAATTATCACTTATTATTCACCATCAACTTATCTTATTAAAAGTTTATATATCTTCCGTATCCTCGATACGCTAACCCGCACGTAAGTGCATGTTGATCGATCCTTCAGTATTCGTCAATTAGTCCTAAAGTGATATCTTCTACACGATCGACAATGTGTGACGAAGCCTGCTACCGCCAGGGCTAGACACTTTGTACTTTAAAGGCGATCCTAACTATCTTTCATAAATTGAATGAAGTACGGTAATTGCCTCGTTCCGCGGACCATCTTATTGGCGACGGCATGTTACAATTCTCGAATTATAAAGACCTTGAATGATATTCAGCGTCACTCGGGCGGTAGCTCATTCGTAGCCGATTCGTTGTCCCAATAAGCCAGGTATTAGTCGATCCAGGGTTCCATCGCCCAAAGTTCCGGTTAATCGAAATGGTCGCAATATAATTTACGAATTACGAAGACAAGTGAATAAAATTTCAGCCTTTTGAAAGACAATTTGATTAGACATTATACAATGAAGTTTCGAACCACCCAAATTGTGTTCTATTTAGCGGTTTCTTTCGATCCACTATTTCATTTGCCTGAATGAGAATTGGGCTTCAACCCAATAATGACAATCCAGGAGTGCTAAAATATACAAACATGAAATGAAATGGCCATTTGCGTCATACTTTTCTATGCCAACTGGGCTAACGTGGAAAGTTGTGAACTGAATACGACACCATGGCCTATATAACTCGGATTTCTATTTTAAATGGTATAAACGAAACCTCCGGTTTTCGCTTCATCCATACGACCAGACATGTTTCCATGCCACGTCATCCGCCCCGCACTATTGATAACGGTAAACCTGTCTTGAATGCCCCGGGGGACCTTCTGGGCCAACGCCGAGATCGAACGCGGAAAATGCTTTATTTAACGTCCGCTTCCACCGAAGTGATATCGCAGACAAAGAGTCGGTGTTAAATAATAAAAATATCATAGTTCACATTGTAAACAACTGCGTGAGCCGACACGGGGATCGAATTTTGAAACTGCAGGTTAATACGGATGCTGATATGTACCCCTTCGCTCTTTTTGCCTTCGCGTTAACTAAGGGGTCCTATTTGTCCTAATCGTCGCTATTTCGTTTCGTCATAAGTTAACAGCGCAAAGGTAAGAAGGCGAGTAACATCTTAGCTTCCAGTTGTTCACTTCTTGGCTTCACTTCGTCGCTATGGGTCTATATATCACTGGAAGGCAAGACACCGTTAAGCGATTTGTCATCGTTTTCCAAGATGTAGCGACGGGGCGCGGTGTGGCCTTTTGTTGCAGCTCTTTAGCTTCCCCGTCCAAATTAAGGGGAAGGTAAAAAAGGAATACATATCGGCTTCCATAGGTTAGTGAACCAGCTATATACAAAGGACAATTGCAACGGGGTTTAACGTCTCGCTGTTCTGCACCGAATATAAGGAATGTAGTCTATATAGTAAACATCTTTGTGGGTTGAACACTCATTGATTCTACAAAATCAAAACACGTAATACATCTGGAAATATACTTCAACGTTTTGTTTTATTTAATCACTCCCATTCTCAATTGGTGGTTATCGAAACTGCCAAGAAGGCAATGAGATTCGACCACCAACCCTACATCGTAAGTAGATTTCATTCTTGATAATGGATGTGAAATGGAAATTATGTAAAAAAGAAAAGTATGGGTGTTACACTGATTATTGAATGATGTATACAAAATAATTTATATTTAGTAACTGCCAATCTTATTAAAGTTAAAGATGAATTTCTACTTTCACTTAGAATAAAAATATCATATTGAGAAACACTTAGACTTCTGTAATGGTTAAAAATTCTATGATTAAAATGTCTCCTTTTTTTAAAAATCTTTTAGTAGATTTAACTTCACCTTTGCGCAAAACGAGTAAGGTTCTAACTTGTTAACCTGGGAATCACGCGTTGCACCCCGGTGTTGGCCGAGAAATATCCTCGGGATTTTCCGATGTGGTTTTACCTTCTCAAGTGACGAAGGATACAGCGTCTGTAAGGAACAGTATCTAGCCATGCAGGTGAGAACGTGTGCACATGGGCGTTTACGTAAAAGAAACCTTGACGGTTACAGTTCGGTCAAGGATAGGCTGTAGGTCAACATCTATCTCATATCAGACTACATTGGTGTATGCCCATCTTCATTTTTCCGGTTGATGCAAAAAAAGTAGGAAATTAAACCCCGTTTCATTTTATTTCATTTTGTTACTAGTTAAAGACCGACTGTGATGACCGTATCTTTAAAGTTTTATCATTACGAATAATGCAGTTGAAAATTGGACTAAGTCTTGCAGCAACACTCGACATTGATTAGATTATTTAGTGAATAT